ATATTAATAAAAATAGCGACATAATCATAAACAACTCACCTCATACGGATCCTGGCTTGTCACAAAGAAAGTATCGAATCCAAACACTTGGTTCTTGAGAATTTCGATTGTTTCAGGAGGAATCCGGAATGATTCGTCTAGTTGTTGCGGCTGCTTGAAATTTTATCAAAGAAATAACAGATGAGGTATGAAGCATGAAAATTTGCCTCTTATTCTGCTACAAGAAAAATACAAAAAGAAATTATAAGTACCTTTAGTCCTGGAAGTGGAGATCCACTAGCAACTTCTACATTATCAATATCCTGTTTCGAAGTTTAAAAACACTTCAAATTCATTGAGGACACAGTCACACCCCCTCTCAGCAGGGTTGATTAGTTGTAAACAAAAAATCAAAATAAGAAAAGAGAGTTGAAGCAAGAATGACACTCAAAGAAGATATATTCTCCATAGATGGGCTAAAATGGATTAACGTAGAATTCGAAGATGATCGTTAAGATGAAGGGGTGATTTAATATGCCGGCCTCTGATGGTGAGATCAAGATAAAACCTTTTATGTTATATTAATTACTACAGCGTGATTACATGCGGTTGCAGGGTCGGTAAATTCTACTGTATGTTAGAGTTCGTACGTACTCAAGCACACCATGCAATAAAGTCTTTCAGGCTCCAGTTGGAAAAAGAGAAAATGTGAAACTTAAAGCAATAACTTTGATTTCAGTTTCTATTCAAGACCAATGACACTTTCTGATCAAGAACCGGTTACCACGCTATTTTATTATGCATAAGGTTAGCAAGTAGCTAGAAATACATACCGGGATGTCACCTTGGTCCTTACTTTCAGCATCATTGTTGTTTCCTTGATCAACAGGCTGAGAATCAACCTGAAACTTATCTTCTGTGAAAGAGTCGGAGAAAGATGGCTTTTCTCCATCTTCAGAGCCATTTTCTTCCTACAAATTGAGATATAGTTTCATAAACCCAAGAAAATTCACAAGAATGACGTTTAAGTATTAAGCTATTGTGTTACTAGACAAGTAAAACATCTATTTCTGATTGTAAAAACACGCCACCTTCGAGCATCCAACGCCAATGTTGGAAGTAATTTCTACATGACCTTATAAGCATCTATTTCATGAAGGTGTCATCAAGATCTATCATTAAGTGGACAATAACACCAATTACGTATTCTAGAACTCATGTCATACCATAAATTCTGTGCCATAAGTCGGACCAAAGGAATCTAATCTGAAAGAGGAAGAAAAGCCTAAACCTTAAGGCAAAGTTATATAAAATTAATAGAAGGCCATTGATCCCAGTGTCTCCAATCCAACAAGAAAATGACATTGTCGACTACGAAGCAATTTTAATTGTAAAACTATAGGAAAAGGGAAAAAGGATTCGGCTGCAACGCAAAGTTACAAATACCTTATCGTTATTGCTATCAGGTTCAGTCTGCGTTTCAGTCACTCTACAAGCAACCCCTCGCTTCGGGCGGCTATCAGTAACAACACGAAAAATAGAAAAAGAATGAATTCAATAATCTTGAAGGCCCCGCATTACGGGCCTCCAATTCGAAACTAAGCAAGTACCTGGAAGCCCGGTAGAGCTTGAGACTACTGTGACGAATCCGTTGGTCCCTCGAACCAGTAAACGAAGCTAAACAGGGATTGAAACGAATGTAACAGCAAGAGCTGCACTGAGACAAGGGGAAGGAATTCCCGCGAAAAGTTGCAGGAAAATCCATTTAAGAAAGTGGGTGAGCAACAATTTAATCCAGTAGAAAAAAGGGCGCCATTGATTGAATTGAAGCTCCAAATTTCGGTAATGACTGATAATTACTGATTCGACGAGCGGGTGGGATGGAGAAGAATCTCGCTTCGAGTTCAAGAATCTTATCCGAATAAACGAGAACTGGATTATATTGAGAAATTAGCGAATAGATGAAAATGAATTTAAGCGAATCTGAACTGCGAATTATTCCTTAGCACGTGTTATTGTTGGTGGATTAAAAAATCTCGTGGGGCTAATTCCGAATTTTGTATTTTATGGAAGAAAAAGAAACCCTTTTAAGAAAAACAATTGTAATACTTTAAATTAGGTGATGTTTTTAGTATGTTCTAATTTTTATAGGTCAATTTTTTTGAGAAATAATTTTTATAGGTCAATTGAAGATTATTACTTTGTCAAAATTATAAATAAATTGAGGAAATTTCTTGAATTCAAACCTCTAAATATAAATTTTTAATAATTTAAATTCTTTTATTGTTGTTCGGAGTTTGCTTTAAAATGAGAGTGTATGTCACGAGCAGGATGCAAAGAATATGCTCCAAATACTGGAATATTTGGGGGAAAAATCATTTATTACCCATTTTTGTTTCATTTCTTGCACTAAATTTAAGAAGTTTAAATACTATGTTTTGTTCCTCGTAATTTCTCTATTTTAATATTTCAAAAAAGTAACTATTTTAATCCCTATATACAAAATCTATAATAAAAATTTATGACCATATTTCAAGAAATTTAAAAAGTGAAGTATCATAGTAAAAAAAATTGAAAATGAAGGACTAAGTCGGTCACTTTTTCAAACTACAAAGAACTAAACGTTTTGAAGTAAAAATCTAAAACAAATATTTTGAAGCTAAAACTATAGGAATAAAAAGTATTTTGAAGTAGAAGCACGTACCACGATAGAAGAATCACCAAATGCAATCCACACGATTTCTATTAGTGGCAACTTGAGATATGGCAAAAAAAAAGTTAGGAAAATAAGCAAAATAACAACAAGGTTTGAGTTTTTCAAATATGGCATTTCTTTTTTGCAAAAAAATGGAGGCCCACGTTCTAAATTACAAATATACCATGCAGGCCCAAACCAACGATAAATTAGTTCTGATTGACTTCTAATATACTAATGATTGACAGATATAATCCTGATATATATGTGATATATGTTTGATATACATATGGTATGAAATTGATTTACTTCTGATATAACTATGATAACTACCAATTATTTCGAACATATTACCTCTAATATATGTTTTCTGATATACTACTTTTTTTCAAATAAAAGCAATGGTATAAATACGAAAAATGAAATAAAAAAACATCGTCCGGAAAGCTTCAAAGATATTATCTCCGAAGACACGACAATCACCAAGAACGAAGATTGATGTCCCAAGCTTTTACCTAAAGATTATACAATAATGAAACTTAAGTTTTTGGTTGTAGGACTTTGCTGCTGATTTRATGTTGATACCCAAAAATGATATTTAAAACATTTAAAAATGACATTGTTGCTGATTTCATTTTGATTTAAAACTTTAAATAAAATTTAATTATACTATTGATATATGTACAAGTTTCGAAAATCACCATTGTCGTTCACATGMAATCAAATTTTTTTCTCATTTTCCATGCATGCCAATACCTATTAATTTCTAATTGATAAAAAAAAATACAAGACAAAGGTTAAAGCAGGTAAAATAGTGATTTACTATTACACAACTGTGTAGAACTGATTGACTTCTAACGTACTATTGATTTACTTATGATATACTAATGTTGTCAGATATACTCCTGATATATATGTGATATATGTTTGATATATAATAACAAAGCGATAATGAAAAGAATAATTTGGAAATATTGAAAATCTTAAAATCACGATTTTCAAAAAAATGTTATATCTTGAAAATATCTAAAAGGCATGCTATTTTGTTAAATATAGAAAACTTATATCCTACCCAAATCTCATTTTCTATTAATCTCTAAGCCCGTCACCCACTTTAAAGCTGAGCCCCATAAACAATTATAATTTTAAAATATTAAAGGATTTTAAATTAAAACCACTCAAGTTCTCACTACTGGAGTTACCCTAAAGAATAAGAGATGGGAAATTCATATCTCAGCTTTGGAGTTGTTTCTTAAGGGAAAAACCAGAATATGATGGAACTAAAGTAAAGTGTCTAAATTACACAACTAACAGCTTCTTCTACGGTCAGAGCAGTAACAGTTAGCAGGGGCCTGTCTCTCCCACAACCAATTACCATTTGTACTTACATACATCTATCTTCCCTCAAATCACCAATTACCTTATGATTCTGCAGGCTTCACATCCCAACGCTGCTTTCGTTTTCTCTGCGTTGGAGTCATGAGTAACCTGGCAAACTCCGGATCTGGTGGTAAGTGCACCAAATCTTCCTTCTTGTCGTTGCTAGAGATCCAGCCATGATACGGCCTTCTACTAATTTTCGGGGTATGAGCCGCAGGTGCAGACTGGTTTGGAGGACTCCTAAAATGATCATCATCACCAGGACCTGCATCGTCTATCCGATATCTTCCTTCTGCACACAATCAGAGATAATATTCTTCAATGCCTTCAGCATGATAATCCACAATGTAAGTGGAATCACTCAGAAGGTGTGAATAACTCAATCATTCGATAGTTTCTTTCCCAAGTAACCAAATGAAATCAATTCTTGCCTTTAAAAATTACTGCTGCACATTGATAGTAGTTTTAAAAGTTTAGCTGGTTAGGTGTTAGTTTGGCCTAGAAGAGAGTGTATCGTTTGATAGGAGCCTAGAATAGAATGTATCTAAGAACAAGAATTCAAGTTTAAGGCACCAATCATCAACTTTACGACTAAACTCACCAAAATATTTTTCAAGTAATCGACAACAATAGTTATAGAACATTGAAAATCCGCAACAAAAAAAATAAACTTTAGAGGTATGGGAAATGAATTACCTGAATCAATTGTAGACAATGGGGTCGTGATCCTGAAAGCTTCATTGTCCTCATATGGAGAAATTAAAACATCGTCAATCTCCTTCACGGTAAGCTCATCCCTTGGATTAGATGAACAGCCAGCTATGGAGGTCTCCTCGTGAATTTCAGCTCTTTCATTCTCTTCATGAACCTTCAGAAAATGGGCATTCAATCGTGACAAAGTTGAAGGGATAAAACAATGGGAAGAATGCAAGGCGTGCATTTTTCTGATAATTACTCAATCTTGTCACAACAGGAGGATAAAGATTAAAACTAGCACTGATGACTTCAGATATAGGATCAATGGGCTTACGGGGGAAAATTAATCCTCTGCACAGTTCAACACAATAACCACGATAATTCATTGGGAAAGTGAAATATAAGATGCCAATAGACCCACAAGGCCACAATCATGCTGTCTAGTGGTATAAATATTGTGATTAAAAACCTACGACAAGTACACAAAGATAAAGAGAAATAAAACCTTTACGATCTCAAGTATCATCCACACAATTCCTAGAGGCATTCACCAGTAAAACTTCGGCATTCTTTTTGGAATGATGGCCAAAAGAAAAGTAGATTTCAAGAAATGAGGGACGCTTCTGGAGTGAACTAGCCACCATCCCAATCCGTTGATAGGCCTTTGCTAAAGAGCTGTAGCGAAAGGGCACCTCACAAACAGATGCTGTGCCGTTTCCTCCCTTGCACGCGCCACACCAATCGGGGGATAGAAGGCAGTTTGAAGTTTTGATTAGGGGTTTCTCTAGGAGCTATACATTTCAATACTCTGGTGCATGCCTTTTCATTTAAGAGAGATGCATAATAGTTTACAAGAATCTACAGAACGAATATATCAATCTCCAACGCACAACAAAAAAAAAATGGCTATTCCATTTGAGTTGTCACATCATTCTCTGTTGGTATCACGAATCATTCATAAACCATAAATATAATGCAAAGTGGACGTAGCCATAAACCATTTTCCTAAATATAATATTCCATTTTTTTCAAATCCAATAATTAAATTTCTATATCAGTTGCAAATGCAATCAAAGTCACACAATTAGCTAGATAAAAGGAAACCAAAAATAAAGTCACGAGGATATATGTCCAAAATGGACAATATCATAGCATTGTGGAAATGTAGAGAGTAAATGTAGAGGTTCTGTTGTTGCGTAACAATAACATCATCAAGTAGCTCAATCCTAATGGCTAAGACACAAAGCGTACATATAATTTTGGTAAAGAACTGAAGCATGTAGAGGGCCAAATTCAACAAAAATAGTTGGAAGATTAACCTGCACTATTACCCCATCTTTCAGTTTATCGAGAATGGTATCGATCAAGAGAGTATAAGAGCCTTCTTCAATGAATACCCATCCATCGTCTCCTCCATAGACCTAAAGCAAATTCACCCCCCAGATCAGTATAAAACAAAAATATCACGACATTTTCAAGAAAGTCAAAATGAAGCAACGAAACCAATGAAACACTTTCGACCAGCAGCAATAACGACAAAATCCCTAGCTCAATGCAGGAAGAATAGTAAATTAATACGCGTGCTTTCCTGTACAGTGACATGAAAAACAATTCATCTTCATTTCCACAAACCTTTTAATAGYCACACAGAAGTTCGAAGACTTCAGGAACAAGCAAAAACAAAAACCCGTACGTGCTTTACGCAATAACAGAGGAAGTCAGAAAAACCTACACTGAGGAGCTCCTTCACCGTGTCACGAACCAACTTCGGAGAAAATCCGAAAGGTGCCATGGCGTCGAGTGCTGCATCAATTCTTAAGTTACCCCTCTGAAATTTAAATTAAATAGAGCAAAAGAGGATAAAATTAGAAAACAATATTAGTATCTATAAGAAATCAGTTGAAAACAAAAGCAGAAAGCTCGTTGGGAATGAGAAAAGGAAGCAAAAAAAGAAAAAAAAAAGGTTAAAGAAAAAACGAAAGAGTGAGAGCGAAAGAAAAAATGCCTTTCTACTTCGCACTCTGGGAGCCATTTTTAGACCTCAGAACTCAGGAAGCAAATGTCGAAACAAGCTGGAAACTCGGAAAAAATGCCTTCTCACGCCGCGGTAAGTCAATCAACACCTACAATCCCCAATAAACATACTGAAAAGAAAGAAAACGGAGAATAATAATGGTTTGAAAGAAACTCAGAATCGAAAGCTTGAAGAAGAAGCGTACCTTGAGCAGCGGAAGAATGTGGCGTGGGCAACAATGTGAAGAGAAATGGCGAGAGATTTTCTTCAGTGGAAGAGAGGAAGATGAAAGCAGTGGAAAATCATGCGGTTTTTGTTTGGTAACGTGAAGCGCAGGCCAAGAGCGCGGAAGAGCAAGACGAATTCCATGATTTTATATTCTTATTCATGGCGCAATAATCAAGGGTTTCCTTTTCCTCGAGGTTCTTCTTCTTCTTCTTTTTTTTTTWAAGTAAAACACACCGGGGAGGGATTCAACCTCATGATTTAAGGTATATGTCAATTACCGTTGAGTTATACTTTGACTTACATATGATAATAATTTGATTTTTTTTTTAACACGAGCATAACCCGACTTTGCTTTCGATTTATACTTATGTACCATTGATCTTTACTTTATCTAGCCAATATAGAATTTTGATTACATTCTCAACAATCATCTCCTTAAACGAAGTATTATCGAATCTTCTCTAAAATAGTTGCACACTACTTATCCGATAGAGCTCAACTACCAATCATAATTCCTAGGCTCACAAAGTAACCCTCAAGACTTTGCTTTAAGTTTAAACCAAAATGTTTCGTATCAATGTAGATGTTGTCACATATTTATATATACATTATATTCTTATTCAAAAAAATATATACATGATATTCCTCTTATTTTGCTTTTAGTTTCACCAAAAAAATCTTATACCAATAACGATGTTGTCTCATGCTTATATGTCTATTATTATTTTTTATTTAGTCAATGTGAAACTTCAGTCGCATTTCCAATAGAAAAATTTTCATACCATCATCGGATAGAAAATTCATTCTGTTGGTTATATTCGGGAAAATTGTTAATTTGGATATTTCATTAATTAGTATATGCAATTTGAATGCAAGAAGTCCTTGGGTATTGTCGTAGATTTTTTTTCATGCTCCTATTTATTTCTAACAATAGTAAAAAAAAAAAAATTAAGTCCAAAAACCAAATAATATGTTAATTAATCATGTAGTTAAATGTTGATCGACTTTGGTTCATTTGATTATTGTATTTTCAATTTTTGTTCATTTTAGCCCTACTTTCAAAACATCTATTTTAGTCCTTACTTTTAAAAAGCATCCAATTTAATCTATGTTTGTAAAATTTTAACACAAATATTATGTATAATGAAAACTCTTTAATACAAATTTTGTGATTACATTTCAAAAAAATTAGTAAGTGAAGTGTATGTTAAAATTATAATTCAAATAAACTAGATTAAAAAAATGAAGGACTAAAAGAGTTACTTTTTAAGGGTAAGAAGGTCAAAATAAACCAAAATATAAAGTATATATAGAGATCAAAATAGTATTTATAACTTAAATTTTGTATTCTGCACATTTTTCCCAGAAAAAAATCCAACCTTTAAATTTTTTATTCAGCAAATGAGTTATTTCTTATCAGCATTCTCTAAACAAACCGAATCAAGTCAATTCAAAATTTAGAGTGCAGTTCCAACTCTGTTCCTTTTGCATTCTAAAATTAGTCAGAGATAGCAATTGGTATCCAGTTCCTCCAGAAGCACATAACAAAACAATAGTGGGAGAGAAGAAGATGGTTTATATGCATCTAAGAATGGACTTTACCCAATTCCTCATATTTGCATAAGAAAGAAGAACAAAAGAAACAAACAAACATCATATTTAGATAAAGAGACTGAACAGACAAGATTTGGCTGATTAATATGGCTATTTACTTAAGGTAGGAGGAGAAGTTTGATGATCTCTGTGTATGCCTTGTATATGGTTGAGGGAGAAAATTCAATGATGGGCCATTGGTGGGCTCTGTGGTAGACACTGGTAGCACTTTGCAAAAAGCCCAAAAGTGTCAACTTGCTTGATGAAGTTGGCCATGCTAGCCCACCCTCCAAATCCAAACCCAATCACCAGGACCCAGATCACTATAAAACTGTTCACCACATACATGCCTGCCCAGCTAGGGAGGAAGATTGGAAGTTTCTCTGCAGCATTCTGCAGCCAAAACATGTACATTTTCCTATCATGTCACACTAGTGAAAGAAATTTCAACTGTCATCATCTACATGGGTTTCCACTGAAACTTCACATAAATACAAGAGTTGCAACTGTTGCACAGTTATAATAGGGACTTCTTGGTTCAGTTCATTAGAATTCTAGAAGATATGCATGTATCACTAATGAACAAGACCAATAGTTGTCCTAGTGATGTGACAAATTATAAGCTACAACTGATTTTGGACTAAAACTAACGTTGAATTGACATATCAGTTTAAGAGAAATAAAAACCATCATCAAATGAGTTGATTTTTTTTTTTTCTGAGTACAACATTTGGGGTGGGGAATTCAAGCTCATGACTTCTTTATCAGAGATACGTGTCAATTACCGCTAAACTAAGCTAATGTTGACATCAATCGAGTTATTTTTTTAAAACTAAAACAACCAATTATTGTCCAAATCTATACTTTAGAGGCCAAAATGACCCACGATGATAATTTAAACGGACTGAACCAACTCATTACAGTCATTTCCATTAGATTTTTCAGTTTGGGTTTGCAACCTTATCTACAACAGCATTTAGGATGAAAAAGCTGCAAACTAGTAAGCAAAAGTAGCATCAACAGCAAAATATTTTGATTTGACACGTCCAGTGACTGAAAAGCCTAAAATTTCGCTCAATTAGCCACCATATTGGTCCTATCCTTCGGCCGTACGAAGGAAAAAGGCTTGTGATTGTGAAGTAGGGTACAACATTCTACAGGGGAGGGCTTAGTCCAAAGATGTGGCTAGCATGAAGAATTGTGACGAAAGCACATAACTGAATGAAAATGAAACACTACCCACTCCCATAATAAAATGTCTCGTGAAATTTCAAATGCTAGTCATTATAAGAACCAGTGGGGCTAAAAATGGCTGTCTGTTGGAACTCACTTCCAGCTTAAATCATACAGCTGGAACCATATCCAGAAAATAATAACAGTTGAAAGGCCCAACTCTTTAGGGAACACTCACTGTTTAACACTTGTACTTGCTGACACTATATTGAGACCCTCTAGGACAGTCATCAGATTCTTAACAAAAGTTTCCAGCATACTCAATCTTTGGTAATGTTTCACTTTCAAATAAATGTTTTCATCCATTTGAAGTACAAAGATGATAAGAGAATATACAGAGCAAGTGCTGAAGGGTATATAACTTGGTTTCTGCATTTTCAGTATTAAAGCTCCTAATAACGAATCACAGATACCAAACAGAACATTCAACCACATCATATGATGAAAACAGCTCAAGAGTAAGCAAAGAATGTTCTGAAACCTGATCTCAAGACTGCATTAAATTATCAATGATTCAGCTAGCAGCTTAGATTGCCTAATTTAACGAAATTTAGACAAAATCAAAGCAGGACCCAGTAATGATATGGTCAGGAAGTGAGGGAAGGTTGAAGGCATCAATCAAATACTAGGCTCCATGACGAGACTTCGACAATGCCAGTTGGATAAACGCGTATTAGGTAGAATATAATTGAAGAAATGAAGTGGAAAGATCAAGGGCATTTACCTGTCGGGCTGAGGCAGATCTGAAAGTGAGCATATGGGCTAAAGAGGGGATGATGTAGACGGTGAAGCTAACCAGAAGCGCCCCCACCGCAGAGTTAATGGGTCCAAAGAAGGGGAAAATTATGGCCAAAAACCATATGGGAATCACAACCGGTAATCGGGCAACTGCCCTCAGACACATGCTCTTTGTTTCATGCATTCCAATCACTTTCTCCCACACGAAATACAATGGGGTGCAAGCAAACCCGAATGTTATGAACTGCACACCAACCGTTCGAGGAAATGCGTAAGCGAAAAAAAAAGAGAATGAAAATCGAAATTTGCAAGGGAATAATGTACCTGGTGAATGAGCATCAGAACGACGGCGGTGGTACGCCATCCGTTGGGGGGAAGGAGGGAGAAAGCGTTGGAGTGAGTGAGGAGTTGATCGCCGAAAGCCCAGTAGACGGCGGTGGCTGAGGGGATGGTCAAGGTGAAGACGTAGAGAGTGGCGATGAGATAAATAACTTTGAATTTTCGAGGCTTCCACATCGCGTGCATTATTTCCCTGCCGCGCCAAACCATTTTGGTTTCTTTTTAATCAAATTCAAACCATTTGATCCACACATGTCCAGTTTCCACCCAACAATTCATAAACAAACAGTCTTATGATTGAGAAAAAAGATTTCACCTTTGAAGTTAAAATCCAAACCCCATTAATGAGTGCAGAAGGAATATGATTGAGAAATGGCATATAGATTTCAAATGTTGATCAGAAGACTCACACAGTGACAGCATGGCCACCAAAAGTGTAAAGTATGTTGGTTGCCCCAGTGAAGTAGAGCACCATTCTAGTTGGGCCAGAATGTTGGACCCCATCAACCTTGAAAAAATGAAACTCAAAAATCAAAATGAGAGAGAGAAAAAAAAAACCCAGAAAAGAGAGAGGAGGAATCAGAAGGTGTACCTGGCCATGAAGAAGGGCAGCAATGGTCAAGTACCAAGCAGTGTAAGTGGTCATTCCAAGGCCAAGGAAAGACCAAATTCTGTAGTTGTGAAAAGAAGGTATAAACACAGTGGTGGCACAGCAAGCTCCAAATATGTATGTCCATGTCCTCTTGTCTAATTTGTCATTTATGTAATATATGTTGCTGCCATAATTAAATCACAAGTTACAACCATATCACATATTAGTATTACTACCATTGATTTGTTTTAAACATGTTAGGGGAGAGTATTCCAACTCACAAACTTGTGATTGGAAATATATATCAATTACCGCTTATGCTCGCTCTGGCAGTATAGTATTACTATTATTACAACTCATTCTCTTTAATTTGCTTTTGCTTTCTTTTAACTTACTCCCATGTTTGGATGGGTTATTTGAGGTTTACAATACAACTATTCTCGATCATTAATGGCGGTTCGTCTCAATTTCTTGTTTTTTATTTTATATTGTTTAAGAAAGAAAAATATTGTCACAAGATGAGTTGAGCTTAATTACATATATTATTTAATTAATATAATTTGTCACATCAGTAACTACGATAAACAATTTAACTGTAATTTATCACGTTATTTAAATATTAGTTAATTAACGGTAAAAAAATCAGGGATCATTTAGAACTATTTATCAAACTTCAGAAACCGGAAGTGCCCATTTTAAATCTCCAGTGATCAAAAGTTGACACCTACTTTAACCTGAAGGACCAAAAGTTTCATTTTGAAACTTCAAGTACCAATTAGACACCTACCTCCAACCTCCGGGACTAAAAGTGTTCATTTTGAAACTTCAGTGACCAAGTAGACACCTACCTCAACCCTTAGGGACAAAATAATATTTATTATGCAGTCTATGTGTAAAAAGAAACAAAGTAATGCTTTTTTTTGTATGTTTAAAAAAATTAAAATATAAATCAAAGACTAAAATTTGTGAAAACGTTCCATGAAATAAAAACCGTGAACATGAGTGGTTAGTCAATACTAATGCCGAATGAGAAACATGAACCAAAAAAGACCCATAAGCTTTTTGGTCTTTGAACATTTTATTATATTCAATGAATATGGCATAAAAAATCAATCCAATCATTGTCATTAATGTTATTTTTAATAGAAAGTTCTGACATAGCCACATCTTTTATTCAACAACCATATCACTCTTCTTTGATAACGAACAAGTGTTTTGGAACCCATATAGTAACAACTCATAGTCAAGTTTCAAAAAGTAATTGAATTTTGCAATACAATTGACTAAAGTTCAATGATTTGGAACAATTTTTACGCTTTGTTCAAAAACTAAAACATAATATCTTGAGKGACTAAAATGAAACAATCCCAAAAATGGTCAAAATAGAATTTGGATATAACTTGGAATTAAACTTGGATTTGGCAAAGTTTTGCAAGAATGATTTTCAGTAGAGAAGAAGAAGAAGAGAGATTGTGAAGTGACAGACCTTGCACAGGCTATTAGCTGAATGACAGATCCAAAGAGAAGGAAAGTACAGTTGAAAGCCAATCCCACAGCTTTCCAATATGGACCCAGAAGCCCATCCAGCACTTCAAACCACTGCAAACAAACAAACAAAAAGTTTCAAAATTGCAAAAATGGCATTGGGTTGTTCTAAAGTTTTGTTTTTGTTCTGTAAAATCTAACCTGAATGACATGGTTCTTGAAGCTGACATTCTCCTTTTCCTTTCGAGTTCTATACTCAACATAGAGAATGCTGATCAAATATGCAGTCCAGCTTCCAATAATGCCATAAAACACTTGAAATATAATCCCTGAGAGCATTCCCAGTTGAGAAAAAGAGTATGGCAGAGTTAACAGAACCTGAGCAACCTGTAAAAGAAACAACTTTACAATCCACAAAAGAGAGAAAAAATTTTGGGTTTCTGTGGGTTTTTGTGGGTTTTTGTGGGTTTTGTGGGTTTTGAAGTTTTAGGACCTGATTTGATGCACAGCTGAACCAAGCATCATAAACAGAGCCTCCATGCCAGAGGAGGCTCTTAAAGCTCAATGGAGATTGATTTTCATTCTCTTCTCCATCCCTCTCATTTGGCTCATTCATTGATTGTGAGAAACTGCCTTCTTCAACCTGTTTCGATGGCACCATTTTCTCTCTACGGATCTAACAAAGAAAGAAAGGAAAAAAGTTTGAAGTAAAAGAGAGAACTTTGAAGCACCCAAAGAGGGAAATGGAAAGAGAATGAAGCATTAAAAGAAAATGCCCAGTTTGAAAAAAGGGTAAAAAAGAAAATAAAAGTGTTACCTTTTAATGGAAAAGTGTATAGTAGCCTCGTAACAGAGATGGGTCTCTGTTTTGAACTTTTTTCAATCAGAGGAATGAAGGAGCCGCAGTGTCACTAATACATCTCCCTCGAGAAAACAAAAAACAGAGCAATTAATTTACTCCTACTGAAAATCTTCTGAAGGGTCTTTGAATTCCAAGTTCGGCTGTACCTTGATCGAGATGAAGCAGGGTCAGTTTGGGGCAGTTTTCAATTGCATTTAACCAAACCCAAAAAAGAGAAGGGAAAAAAATGTCTCACTCAAAAGGGAAAGATGATTTTGAGAATAAAGATCCAATCCAACAAAAGAAACAGAGTGAGTACCTGAAAAAAGAGTGAAAATGGGGTTGCTTTTGTAGCTGCAGGGGAGGGGTCTATGGAAACAAAAGCTGCTAATGTTGCTGTTTCTATTTGCTACCCTCTCTCTTTGGTTTCTCTCTCTTTGTTAACAGTCCTTTTTAAAGTGGGTAAGAGGCACAATTAATTTCCCAGTGAAGGTCTCTCCCCTTTCAATCATGTCAAATTATTGATCATTATCACAGGGTCAAAATTCAATTGGAAATGGGCACGAAGAAAAGGCGTTCAGAGCATAGATTCGACATCTTATTTCGAACATTTAAACATAGAGTTTAAGAAGCCCAAGTTTGGAAGAACCATATGAAGGAATGGGCTTAAAGTACTGTTGAAATTCACAGATTTATCCAACAAACCTCAAATTCGACAAACCCATGAAGTAAAACATAGGTTCGACATCTATAGCCAAACTCTCGCTRGGAAGAGCATAAGTAGTTTAAGAAATTTGTATACGGTAGTCTAAGTTTAAGAAGCCTAAGTTTAGAAAAACGACGAGAGATAGTGAGTTTAGAGTACCGTGGAAAATTATGGAGTTGTACAATAAAATTTAGATTCGGCATCTTAAGCTATGCTTSGGTCCGAAGAGAAAAGTTTAAGCAATGTGATGAGTGAGATTTCGTGTTTTTTTTTTTTCTTTTTAACTTTTTGGTGTAACAAAGAAACAAAGTTGGAGGAGATGGCGATGTGTAAGGAATTGTATCATCCAAAAGGGGAGAGAAGACACAAGTTTTGCTTGGTGATGGGTTCTTTTCAGTCCCTAAATCCATGTGTGATGTCTCCCTTATTCATGCCCTTTTTTCTCTCCTCAAATTTAACACCAAGTTACAGATACTGTGCAAAAAAGACTACTTCTTCCTTTGTTAAAAGCGAATTTCAAAAAGCGTTTGACTCGTGAGTTGGATTTGTATACTTATAATGCATTTGGACGACTTTTGAAAAGAGTAGTTTTTGCAAAAAGACATTTTTTCTACCCACACTTTTAAAAGAATCGGTAATTTATAGTGTGTTAATTGTAGTTTTTTAAATGATTTTAGATGACTAAAAATGCTTTAAAAAAACTATAGCATTTGGTAACAAGTAGTATTGTTTCAAAATCCTTTTTTGAAGAAATGCTTGACAGATGATTATCCAATAAGTGACTTTTAAAACAATTGACTGGTAGTTTAAACACTTGAGAGATTATTATTAAAAAAAAAAAAAGGTGTGCCAAATCACCTTTACATCCATTGCCAACGGGTTAATCCTAAACTTACCACTACAAATTATAAACTCACGTATCAATCAATTTAAGTCATCTTACCTTAAAGCTTCACAATTTTATTATAAAATGCTTGAGTTAAATATCCTCTAACGTTGTTGCATTAATTTCATTTTCATAAGTTTTTAAGGGTTTTTTAGTTCAATAATTGCGATCACCAGGGGCAATATTCAATTTATGATTTAATTATTAAATAAAAAAATATCTGATAGAGAATTGTTATGCAAAATAGGAGATTATATGAGATGGAGGATGGAAAAGAGAAAGGAAAATAAAAAATCTTGGTGGCCCATAGATGAAAAGAAAGAAGTCATGTGATTAAGATTTGACAAAAACAGCTAATTCTCTAAGAATTTGGTGAACTAACTCCCTCTTGACAGTCAAAAAGTTTGTCTAAATAATCCATCCCATATGTGGATTTGGTGACTTCAAATGGCATCTTTTCCATTTTCTAAAATTTTTCAAAAAACAATAATGGAAGATATTATTATGTGTATCCATCTTCTAAAAAATGTAAAATTAATATTAACTCAGGATCTAATTAAGATTTAAGTAAAAAGGTAAGAAAAACAAGATTCGTTATTCGTTAAAGAAATTTGAGTTGGTTTATAGATTATTATGTTAGCATATAGTATAGGATTGAATTTGAATAAATAAAAAAGCAGTATATATCGTAAGATGAACAAATTTATTACTTATGATAAACAAATTCATATCTTAAACTTAAGTTCAAGTTACACGAGTTTAACATTTTTTTTTCGAAATTTTAATAAATCTAAACAATACTTGGGTGTTAACTTATTGGTATCTATTTTTGTACTTTTATATATGTGTGTGTTTTATGCCTTGTAAAAAATTTGTGATTGTTTTTCAATAAATCTCTTTTATCACTTTATTTAAATTGTTTATTAAAAAGAGTATAAAGGCTCCCACAGGCCACAGGTCCCATAGGCTGGTAAAAGAGAAAAGAAAAAAAACAACCATCAAAAGAAATATTCTTTCTTCGTTTTCTTTTCTTAGAAAATTGTTTCCATAATCACTTTTTTTCTAAATTTCATTTTAAAATTGCATACAATATATTAGATACCATATGGTACGAAAAAATGATAAGGTTGTAGAGTTAGGTGATCATCGATATAATATCTGACTTAATACACTACTATCAAGTTAGTAAAGACTTCTTCTAACTCAAAAAAGGTTAGTTGAAGTTTTATTAATCACTCCTTTATATAGGAGCCCTAGTTGAAGTTTTCGTAAAGTTAAATTTTAATTGTGTAGCGACAAAATAAATTTAAAATTATAATTTTTATGGGAAAATATAATCTAATAAAAATTTGTTTGTACTTGAGAAAAAGTATGATTCGTGAGTAAGCAGGAAGCTTTTGTTTTGGATTATACATAGGACTTGTGGTGGCGTCGAGTTCTTGGATTACAATCTAATAAATGACTTTGCTTAATTTAATTGATTTCATATCATGTCTTTAATGGCAATAATGATTACAACAACATTGAATTATTAGTTGCATTTGTTTTGTCTTCTTGCCACAATGCTAGGAATCTCTTGAACGGGCCGGAAAGAGAAATATAATTATTCAAAGTTTATTTTATTTTTTATTTAGTTAAATTAAATCATATAATATTAATCTATTAATGCAAATTGTTAGTGAATATYTAACATTATCCGAGGGATATTTATTATATACGCAATAAACTAGACGTGAATTCAACTTTTGAGCTTGATTTAAATAATTAATGAAAAAAGAAAAAAAAAACTAAATGGTCAAGAAGAATAATAAACGAAACTCAAGAAATAATAACAAAAAATTAAAGGTAAGAATAAGAAATTAAAATATTTATCGATAACTATATTCTTTGAATAAATATTAATTGATTCAATATTGATAACTTCTTCTTCTTTTTTTTTTTTGTTGAAAAAAATATTGATAACTTCTTTTAAAATTACCTATTTGTATGTAAAACTCAATACTTCTATTATTTGATAGTTTAGGTTATTAATTCTAGAAAACTTTGATTTCTTTTTTAAATAAAAGTTAATAAATACGTAGAGTAATAGTTAAAAAGATCAAGATTAAGGATCAGATGGATCAGAAGAATATACTCCATCCTCGTAGTCAGATAACATTTGCATCTTCATTTTGACATTATTTCAAATAGAAATGATTCATCCATCAACTAACTCAAATCTATCCAATTAATAAATTAATTAATATAATTTTAGATTAAACTAAATATTTAGTTTGTAATTATTTCTAGTTTACAAATATATTATTAAACACACATTAAACAATTTTTTAAATTGAGATTCAATTATTGTTACCAAACAAATATCTGAAAATACTGAACAATAATACCATTCTAATTTTCATTGAATCTTTAATTTTCAAATTTATATTTTMTGATTACCCATCAAACACACCCTTATTTTCTACCRATGAAAAGGAAACTAATTTTAATTTGTTGTTATTATTATTTTAACGATGAAGGAATTGGATGTTGGATTTGGACCAGATTGTGTGATCAAGTTTGGAAAAATCAAAAGTTTTCTCACATTAATTAACCTAGTAATTATGACCAATTATTTACTGACGTGAAATTTAAATAAATTAACTAACTCATTATTACCATCATGATGTCACAGTAAATAAAGACACTGTTCCACGAAAGTTTTTTCTTTTATCTTTTTCACATAACAGAGTCCTAAATCCTATTTTAAAATTCAAGATTTGTCTTTAGAATGGTTCTTTTAGACTTTTAGTTCAATTATTCCAAGTAGCCGCCGTACTGATCCACAGTAAAAAGTTAAAACGGCTTCCATGTCATATATGTAAAAAAAAATCTATAGTATTGATAGTTTGAGTTCGCTCGCCGACTTAATAAATTATGGGGCTGGAAAAGAAGTCTGGGTACCATTCTTTTAGATTTGTTTTTAGTATGCAAAGTGATGATTTCTTAGTAAAAAATAGACGTAAGTTAATGCTAGTTAATCAGAACAAGGATGTTCATTCCCCCATGAGTATTAGTTTCATGTTTAGGTGGTAAATTCCCCAATTCTTTACCGGGTGGAGATGGATATAGTTTGTTCCACATCTCAATTTGGGATGGAGACAGGGAAAGCATTCTCCGTCCTGCCTCACTTTATATATTTATACTAAAAAATCTTATTATATATATATATATATATATATATTACTACAAATCATTTTGTTGGGAATTTCACGGAATTGGGTAATGAAATGGGGGTGAGGACGAGGACGTGGAAGCTTTATCCCAATGAACATTCATACTRTCTAAGCTCATGTTGGCATCAGATTTTTTAGATTTGGATAGTAAAAATTAGTATATAATATAAAATAAGTATATAGTGTTTTTTTTTAATGTTGTGTAAGTTAATTTATGGGCAACACTTTTAAAAAAATGATATATAGTACATGAATAAATATAAATAATACAGATATTACATGTATATAAAAGTCTTACAAAAATTATGTGTTTAATAGTTTTCAATTCTCTGTCTCTGAACAAAATTAATTTAAATTGGTATGCAAAACCATCTCTTCTAATCTTGAATCTGAAAATTCCAACTTTTTTTTTTTTTTAGATTTTTGCTTTGTGCAGACATTTGAAATTAAATATGTAAAAAAGGAGGGAAAATGAGATGCAAATGGGAGGAAGTTACGTGAATATTTCAATTCAAATGTGCCACTTTTTTCTCACCCAAAAAAGTGAAAAACGCAATGATCTCGAATTAGCATTTTGCACATTAAAATATTTTCTGCGTACAAATAAATCAAACCTTTTTTTTTTTCTTAACTTTTTCTCCGCTTGACTTTTATGGCAGAGTTAATTTAAGGAATTATTTATAAGGTCGTCGAAAATTAGTTTTCTATTTTATTTTCAAAATTTAAATGGTTTAT